GCTCACCACCCCGGAACGGGGGCACCGGAGTTCCTCGAGTGAGGAACAGCCCAGGGCTCCCGGGGAAGCTCCGGGGGCTGCACAAGAGGAGCGGCCGCCTCGCCGCTTCCTCCCGCCGCTACTTTCGCTTTGTAGCGGCCGCTTCCCGGGGCCGCCCGTGCCGCTCCGCTCCGGTCCAGCCCAGCCCAGCCCGTCCCGGTACCACCGCGGTTACCTGCAGGAGAAGGCGTCCGGCTGCCGCTCGCCCATGATGGAGCGGCGGAGCGCCCGGGACGGGGCGGGCGGGACGGGGCGCACGGCTCAGCACGGCTCGGCTCGGCTCGGCTCAGGCAGGAAACCGGGGCAGGCGGCTCCGCATTTCCGCCGGGCGGAGGCGCGGGGCGCGGACCCCGGCCCCGGCCGGGTTATGTAAAGCGGAGCGGAGAGGCCGGGGGTGGAGGCTGCGCGGGGGCGGAGCGGAAGGGCCGCCCCGTCCGTCCGTCTGTCTGTCCGTCCGCTCGTGTGACTGTCCTTCTGTGTGTGTGCGTGTCCGTCCGTCCGTCCGTCCGTCCGGCGGCTCCGCGGGTGCGCCCGGCTCCGCGCAGCTCCGCGCCGCCCCTCCCCGCTTCTGCCTTTATCTTATCGCATCCGCGGAGCTCAGCGGCGCAAACAGCCCGGCCGCGCTCCCGCGGTGGATTCATTTTTAAATTTTTAAATGTATCTGTTTAGTTTTTATGACTTTTAGAATGTTTTCTCCCTGGACTTGGGGGTGTCCGCCGCAGCCCCCCCCCCCGGGAGTCGGGAGGGAGCCCGAGCGTGGGGCTCTCGGAGGCTCGGGAGGAAAGCGCCCCCCTTTCCTGTTCCTGCTTGGCCACGTCTTCCCCCTGCTCCCCGGGCTGGGACCCAAGAGACCTCTGGGGTTGCAGCAGTGGGCCAGATGCCGTCTCAAACCCCATTTCTCGTAATTTTCCAAATTATCTTGTGGCGAAAGGCACCGCAGGCTGCTGCCCACGTCCAGCCAGAGCGGTTCAGGACACAGGGCCCGCAGTTGTGCCTCACCGTGGGCGAGGCTTCAGCCGCGACAGAGCGGTCTCAGTGTCCCTCGGTCCCAAACAGGACCAGGGACTGGTGTGGGTGGACACGGGTCAGTCTCAGCCATCCTGGTGCCATCTCATCCCCGGGGAGCAGAGCTAAGAGCAGAGCCGCCCACTCTGCCGTAGGAAATTGAGGGAAAATAAACTTCCACTGCACCTTTTTCCAGTACAGGACTGGACTGCGGTCTGTACCGTCACATCTGGCCCATTGACATCCCCCACTCTTGGTTGCACCAAGAGCTCCTACAAAGCCTTGTCTGGAATGGCAGCAGCTCCAGGGGCAGAGGGACATGTCCCCACGCAGAGGCCACTCACACTGGGCGGGCAAAAGTCACGGCAGAGCAGCTGTGGGTGCCCAGGGTCTGGCGCCCACCCAGCCAAGGAAGCCCAGGGATGCGGCAGCTGGGATTTTACAGACACCACAGAATGGATTTGTGGCTGTTGGGAAGGTGGCAGCTGCAGGAATTTGCCCTTGGAGGGTGGGCTGAGACACACTGAGCTGTCAGAGAGCAACATCTGTGTGTCACTCCCCGTGGGGTCCATCCTCAGCGGCGCTTTCAATACACTTTGTTCACCCCATCCATTCCCAATGCGTCTTCCAGCGAAGAAAGGACTGAAACGCAAACTCCCAGCTGGTGCTGTGCCACCCCTGGACCACAGCCGGTTTGGACACAGCCCTGCTGCCCTCCTCCAGCCTCAGCAACCCCCCCGGATCAGATTTGAGCCGTAACCCCACAGGCCCTTCGGGCACTGCCAGGGATCCAGGCGACTCCGCGTCCAATCAGCCCTTCCCAAACCCCACAAGGAAATGGCTGGGAGCAGCTGACATGATCAAATCTTACCTTAAAATCTGCTTTTTAATTCCTGCTGCCGTTGCTTTATGCATAATTGCACCTTCTGGCTCTTTTCCTGAGAACGGAGGAGCGGCCGGCGGATCCGGGTGCCTGCCCCCCTTCCCCGCGGGCGGCTGTCCCAGCTCCCAGCGATCGCACTTTTCTTTATCAACTTCATCTATGTCAGAAGCGCCCTCTCAGCGTCCTCAGCCCCAGTGGCCTGAGATTTCTCTTTTGTTTTGCTTCCTGTATGGATTTTCTCAGTCTCCCAACTGCTAATTCACTACCCCTCGACTTCTGCTTTTTGGTTTTTTGGGTTTTTTTTTTGTTTTGTTTTTTTGGGGTTTTTTTTTGTGTGTGTGTGGAGCTGCGCAGATTCTCTCTCTCTCTCTCTCACACACACACACACACACTCAGGCGCTGCTGCTTCCCTTCCGCTCTGCACTGCCCTCAGCTTTTAACCGTTGCTGCTTTCTTCTCCTGTATAAAACCCTTTACTGGCTTCCAGCCGTCCTTCCCACTTCCCTCCTCAATTCCTCTTCCAGGATGGGTGGGGTGGTTGGGAAAAGGCATTTCTCACTTGCATTTCTCGTTTGCATTTCTCACGGTGGCATGTGATGGGTTTCTGGTGATCCCTGCCATCCCACACTGAGGGAATGTCCGTCCCAACCTGCCCGGAGAGGGCCCGGGGGTGACAACATCTGGAAATTCTTGGCTCTGAGGGTCTGTGCTCAGCTGGAAAATGCCCCCCAAAATCTTAGCCTGGCTTCTAGGTGCCCCTTCCGAGGTTTGGGTGGGGATGGAGGCGGTGATGGAGCGGGTGGTTTAGGGGTGATTGTGTTGGTTCTGGAGGGGGTGGCGATGGGCAGGGTGGTGATGGAGCGGGACGGGGGCAGTGACTGAGGCTGGCTGTCCCCACCGAGCCCCGCAGCGCTCCGGCCGCCGTGGCCGGGCTCCCTCTGCCCTCTCCCGGCTCTTCCCCGCGCTGCAGCCGCCGCCTCCGGCCCTTCCCCGACCGGCTCCGCCTGTCCCGGAGCGGGGCGGAGGGGCCCGGGGGCAGTGCGCTCCGGTGCCCGGCTGGAGACGGCGTGGGACGGGGAACTCCGCGTGGGAGCGGAGCGGGGCAGGTCCCGCACCCCGAGAGGCTCCGGGGAGCGCCGCGCCCGCCCCACGCCCGCGTTTCTGTGACAGTCAGGACTTGTTCTCCTCGAACGCCAAGGCACGGCTCGGGATCCATTGGGGCTCCTGGGGGATGATTCTGGGCGGGGACCCGCACAGCTCCCGGTATCCGAGGCCCCCCGGTACCCCAAGATTCCCGGCACTGGCGGTGACTCAGAGCCCCCGCTCACCTCCCTCAGCCGTCCCGCACCCGCCGCTGTGTAATCGCACCAAGTCACCGGTCATGGGAGCAGCAGGAAGCGGAGGCCAGGGGCATCCCACATCCAGAAATGCTCCTGGCACCCCCTCACCTCCTTTTAGACCCTTTTCTTCTCCCTTCTCCCCTGCTGTGGGGCGAGCTCAACATGGGAGTTCATCTTTCCCATCAAAACTTAACAGGGGAAACTGAGGCACAGTGTCTGGAATTCTTGCTGGGAGGATGCTGGGGGACAACGGGAAAATTTGGAGAGGCTCAGAAGGGGAAGTCCTGCAGCTTGTGCTGCAACACATGACTGTTCCAAGAGAGACCCAACGGGAAGCAGAAATTCCACAGGGGAATTTTGTCAGCGTTTTTGAGGAATCGGGGTGATTTTCCAGAGCAGCTGTGGAGGAGGAACAACCTCTGCAAGATGAAAACGTGGCTTTGGAGTCTCGGGGAAGGAAAGCAGAGCTAGGAGCCCTGCTGCCTTTTTCCAATTACCCTAGCTGCTCTAATAAAGATGTTGCTTCTCCCCATGGCCCTTCCTGCTCTAATCTCGCCTTGTGAAAAGGCACCGCTCAGCGAGGCAGGGAGATAAGTGGTGCAGAGACCCAAAACTTCCCACCAGCAGCCTTGAACAGAGAGCTGCTCTGCTCAGGAGGGAAGATAAAGCCCAGATGGTTTTAGGGCTGGTTTGAATCCCTTTTTATAGCCTGAAAGTGAAAGTCTGCAGCTGACAGGGAAAACCCTCAGTGAACTGGGAACCTCTGACACAAGCAGAAAATCGCAAAGTCCTGAGCAGCTGTGCAGGGAAACGGGGGCATCTGTGGGTGGGGACTGGACCACAACCTGTGGCAGAGGTCAGGGACAACAGAATTTCTGGGATGGGGACCCTTATAATTGTTGCCAATGCCTCAATTGCTGAAATGCACACATGGGTGTGGAGCAGAGCAGGGGAATGAAGAAACTGGAGGAAAGGGACGGTGACAAGGAGCACAAATCCTTGATGCTGGTATTTACTGGGACATGGTGAGGAGAGTAACACTGCCAAGGTGGTCCTGTAAGCCTGGAAGGCCAACCAAGAGCAGAAGTCAGACTGGAGGCTTGTCCCCACTCAGATCCTTCTGTCCCTCTGCACTGGGACCACCCCACACTTGGCTGTGACCCAAGGATATGACTGGAAGGTCAGGAGAGCAGCCAGGACTTGCAGCCTGGCTTCCTGCAGCATCTCCCACCCACACAAGACCAGTCCACGTCCTGCCACCAACCCTCCTTGCGGGGCTCGTGTCTCCCACCTCATCCACCAACCTCTGCCCGTTCCCTGCCAGATGCTCCCAGAATCCCAATTCTTTGCCTCCAAAATGTGACCGAATATTCAGCACTGTGCAGCCACCTTCAGGACTAAACTCCTGCGTTTCCCACACATGTGCACATCCCTGCTTACACCCAGACATTCATCCCGGGATGAGCATATCCCCTGCACCCTCCAATGCTCCCCCATTCCCCCCTCGCTCTCCCCGCCGCTGCCTGGCTCTCAGTCCCGGTGCCCGGAGCAGTGACTCGCAGCGGGTTTTGGGGTCTAGCCAGGAGCTCCCTGCCCCGGGGCCGAGCTCCGGAGCGCTTTTCCAGCTCCTCCCTCCCTCCCTCCTGCCGCGGGGATGGGCGGTGGCGGAGGCGGGGGGGAGCAGCGCTCCGCCTGCGGGGCCGGGCCGGTGGGAGACGAGGACAAAGGTGACCGTGCAGGAGCGGTGGCCCAAAGCCCCCTGGCACCGTCCGAGCCCGGATCCAGCGCTCTCACGGCCACCGCGGCCACGCGCGTGTCGTTGATGCCGGTGACAGCCGCAGACCGCAGGTAGAGTGCAGGTGGGTGGAAAGCCCGGCCCGGCGAGGCCACCAGCGATTAGGGGACAAGAGGAGCGGTGGCCTTGCCCGGGTGTCAGGGTTCATGGCCACGGCTCCCTGGAGCGGCAGCCACATCCACGGCGCCGGCCAGAACCCTCCCTGGGCGCCGGCGCGAAGGTCACCTGTGCCAGGTGACGTGAGGCACCGCGACAAGCCCTGCCTGGGGCTCCTCCGTGCCAAAACACTCTCCTGGGGGGTGGCGGTCCCTGGGGGGAGCCACAGCCCACCCGGCATCCCAGCCCCTCGACTGGGAGCGGGTTTATCCCAACTATCCCGGCGTTGTTTATTCACCATCTCCATTTGCTGGGCCCCGGGGCTGCTGCCGGCAGGAACAAAAAGCCGACGGCTCGTTTCCGTGCAGCGCAGCGCTGAGCACCCTCTGTCCCCGCAGGGCGCGGAGCCATGAAGCTGAACGAGCGGAGTTTGGCCTTCTACGCCACCTGCGACTCCCCGGCCGACAACTCCGGCTTCCTCTACAAGCGAGGCGAGCGGCACACGGCCTATCACCGCCGCTGGTTCGTGCTCAAGGGCAACATGCTCTTCTACTTCGAGGAGCGGGACAGCCGGGAGCCCGTGGGCGTCATCGTGCTGGAGGGCTGCAACGTGGAGCTCTGCGATTCAGCCGAGGGTTTTGCCTTCGCCATCCGCTTTGGCGGCACCAAGTCCCGCACCTACGTGCTGGCGGCGGAGAGCCAGGCGGCCATGGAGTCGTGGGTGAAGTCGCTGTCCCGAGCCAGCTTTGACTATATGAGGCTGGTGGTGCGGGAGCTGGAGAAGCAGCTGCAGGAGATGGGCGGGGGGCTGGCCGGAGGATGTGAGGGCTCCCGGGAGCCTCCCGGCCCCTGGAAGCCGAAGCCATCGGGGCTGGAGCAGTCCCGGGAGCGGCTGCCGGCTCTGCCCGCCATCCTGCCCAAGGAGAACGGCTGTGCGGTGTGGAACAACGTGCTGGGGGCGGCCCGGCTGCCCGAGAGTTCTGGCTGCGGGGGGCACGGTGAGGAGGGGACCCCGCGGCCGCCGCCGCTGCCG